AAAAGTAGGCTATACAGAAATACACCTTAATTTACCTAACTGGTAAAAACAGTATTAAATAAAAATCTATTACATTTATGCTTTAGATTACGAGTGTCCACGTTAGATAATGAGTGGTTCACAGTGTAAAAATATTCTTTGCTTTACCAAAGGATTCATCTATGAGGAGAAACAACAGGGGATGTGGAATAATGAGTCACAAATTCAAGCTCTGGAGGACCCAAAATGAGCAACCTCTCTTACTTTTAGGATGATGATAGTCCTGAATCACCTCTACACAAGTTGTAATAATTAAATGAAATAATGTATTTGACAATGCTTTATAAAGTTTTAAAGATAAGGACTAACAGTATTGCTCCACAGATGTTTACATTTTTGTTCATAGAGAACTACACAACAGAAAAGTTTAGTTTCGTTCAGGAATAAATAAAAACTAAAATTCCAGGAAAAAATTGAAGAAATCCAGGCAATATAGCTTTGAAAAGTATTCTAATCACTAGAGTGTGTAAATTTCTACTCACTGCATAAAGAATATCTATATATAAAACATATCAGTGATCAAGATATAAGTCAACTAGTCAGGTTCTGATTTTTTGGTATGTATTATTAATTGAAAAATAAATTCCTCACCTGGCTTTATTGAACACTGTCGTTTAACTTCTTCAAGAACTGTACTCATCATAGTAAGACCCTCTTCATTTCTACTCTCAGAAGAGAAAACATACCTTTGCCAGCTGTCCAAATTTGATTTCCTTAACCTTACTTTCTCAAACTGAAGCTATCAGCATTTGGTATGAAATGGAGGACTGAGATAAGTAAGTTGGAGGATAATTTGCTTACAGAAGGAAAGATAATCACATTTAAAAAATTACTTAAAAGACAGGGAAATAGGGGCGCCTGGGTGGCTCAGTGGGTTAAGCCGCTGCCTTCGGCTCGGGTCATGATCTCAGGGTCCTGGGATCGAGTCCCGCATCGGGCTCTCTGCTCGGCAGGGAGCCTGCTTCCCCCCGCCCTCTCTCTCTCTCTGCCTGCCTCTCTGTCTACTTGTGATCTCTCTCTCTGTAGAAAAAAAAAAAAAAAAAAAAGACAGGGAAATATTTTATATTAAAGATAGAAAACCCTAGTGGATATCAGAACCTCCTCATCGCCTATGTGTGTCCCTTCACATAATCTCTTAAATACTTCAAACATAAAGTGCTTCCAAGGCTTTAAATTTAACCTTTTTAGGTCCAAAATTTTAACCACTTCTTAGCAATCTGCCAAATCATAAATCCTATTTTCTCAACCTGTGTGTGTATGTGTGGAAGTTGTATCTTATTGTCTATGGGAATCACAATTACAGATCAGCTATCACTACTACAGCTGTGTGTCAGAATTCTCTTGGCCTTCACCTTTCTAATTATCTACTTTAAAATATACAAACTTAGGGCATGCCTGGGTGGCTCAGTTGGCTTAGCATCTGCCTTCAGCTCAGGTCATGATCTCAGGGTCCTGGGATCTGGCCCCAAGTCGTCAGACTCCCTGCTTGGTAGGGAGCCTGCTTCTTCCTCTCCCTCTGCCCCTCCTCCCTGCTCATGATCTTTGTCTGTCTCAAATAAATAAATAAAATGAATAAAATAAAACGTGCAAACTCAGAGGATCAAGGTTAAACTTACAGACAAAGTAAAAACTGTCAATATGTTTAGACCATATAGGTATAATAAGGTAAAATATATAGGTAAGATAGGTAAAATATAGGTAGGTAAATTTGGTAAAATAACTTTTTAAGTGGCTAATAAACTTTAGTGTAGTGCTCTGTGCGTAATACATCAGTTCAAAGGTCTACTTTGTTTAGTTTTAGAGTCTCAGCCCTAATATTAATGCTTTAAATAAAAATTTCAACTTTCCTTAAGTGCTAATTACTGTTTAATATTCTATTTCTACATCATCATCATCACCATTATTTCACAAACCAACAGGCCTACCATGCAAGAGTTTCTTAAAATTAAACATAGTCATAGTGGACATGCTTAATTTGTTCTAGTGTCCCAAAATGCAGGAAATTAGGTTACAGGCCACGAAGGCCACTATAGGTTCTATTACCCTGAATCATTCCTCCCTGGGGAAGGCATACTGTATAAAATACCTATAGACTAAAGCTTAGTTACTTGATCACTTGAAAGGCCTTACATGGCTTTTGTTTTAAATAAACACAGAACCAAAATTTTAGAGCTTGAAAAGATTAAAAACTAACTTTGACTTTGGATATAGAAACTTTAGGAGCATGACAAATTTCAGGAGGGTGTCTGAAATAAATACACTACACTACCATATACCTTAAGTTTACTTGTTTCTTACAGAGGAGAATTTCTTCAATGCCTAAAATATTAAGGTAAAAGTAAATAAGTACTTCTTTTTGGTTCTTGATATCCATTCTGAATCCTATTTCAATGAACCTGGAGTACAAACCTCAGACAGCTCAGCTGAATTTCTGAAAGACACATAAGCTATGAAGATGATTCTCAACACATTTTGTACTGTTTTCTTATTATATAGACTTCTAACAACTATAAATTTCACTTTGATTTCTACCTTCCTACTAAAAAACTGAACACTGGTAAAATTTTAAACTATGAATCAATTTTTTAAAATTATTTTAATTTCAGGCTATCCCTTGAAGTATTTAGCAACAAACTGGAGTTCAGAATCCTTGCCTTGAGTATTAAATAAACGTTGACATAGTTATTTAAATGAAAGAATATTTAAAAAGCCTTAGTATAGGGCCTGGCTCCTTAGGAGCCTCTAAATACAGACATGTCTAAATACAAACATGTATATCCAAAGTCAAAATATTCATTTATTATTTACAATGAACAATTTATTGGATTGTGTTCTTGTTACTGGTCAATTCAATGATGGACGCTATCCTGTTTAGGGACAATGAAATAATTCAGAATATTCCCTGGTTATTCTCTGCTTTCAAGGTTAATCACTTTGTTTAAACCATATCACAATTTAAACTTCCCCTACTTTCTTTTAAAAGCTGTTTGGCTTTAATAAATGTTTATATCCAAAGGAGTAAAACAAAAGAGAAAATATTACATTCAAGAAAGGTGTTGACTGCAACACTATACATGTTATCAAGTATTTTCAACTTAAAAAAATTTTTTTTTTAGGGGCACCTCGGTGGCTCCATCAATAAAGTGTCTGATTCTTGATTTTGGCTCAGGTCATGATCTCAGGTTCCTGAGATCGAGTCCCACGTCAGGTTCTGTACTCAGTGGGAAGTCTGCTTGGGATTCTCTCTCTCCTTCTCCCTCTGCCCTTTCCCCCAACACTCCCATGCTCTCTCTCTCAAATAAATAAAATCTTAAAAAAAAAAAAAATTCAACAAAAGCTAAAAACATAGATAAGTTAAGAACTCAGTTGAAAATGTGCATAGTCCACCACCTACTAGTAGTCCCACTTCTAGATATACACCCTAGAGAAACCTGGAACACGCACACCAGGATAAAGTGCATGATTATGCTGAAGATGCATGTACAGCATAATGATGGAAAATCAGACCTATTTAGTACATTCTGATGTCACAGAGAAAAGCACACACTCAGACTATGTTGCTGAATCTTAACAATTATATGATCACTAAATAAAATCTTATAAAAGCAGTGAATTGAAACCTTCTACCCATCTAATAATGTTACTTCTCTACTGGAAGCAAAATCTCTACTTTTAAAATATATAATCACAAAGCAAACCAAGGTGCATTAAATTCAACACAGATGAAATCTTTAACTGAATGGCAGAGAAAAATATGCACTCATTAGTCAATGCTCCTATAAACACATGGAGATTCATAATTATATTAATAATTAAATTAAACTCAACATATTTTTTCCCAAAATACATTTTTACCTCTCCTTAGTCCCTTCTTGCCAAGACCAGTTGAGGCTTTAATCTAATTAGAACTGTTTCCAGGTATACAGGTATGAATTCAATTGGTATAACAAATCTTTTTTCCTCCTTCCAGAACTCGACCACAGCATCAGTATACAGTTATATTCTCCTTTCTACACTATTAATGAAAATATAAGTGAAACACAGAACTTTGAAAGCCCCACTTATGTAAGAAGCAATTATCCAATGTGCTTAAGGACATCAACTTGAATGCAGCTACTGTTGAAAAAATATTTTTGTGATTTATCTTTTTTACTCATTTTTACAGCCTGAAGGACTACTAATTCAGAAAAATACAGCACGATTCATATGACAATGAATTTTTATTTCACAATTCATAACAATAGGGCTTATAATGCATATTCAGTAATTCAATGTACTAGTACCATGATCTACTCGGCCTGAACTAAGTCAACATAATACACTAAAAGTCCAAAATATCCTTTTCTTAATCACTTACTACCTCATAAGAATCTCAGCAATATCATTAACTTGGACTCTGAAATTATTTTACACTACATTAAAGACAGGAATTAGAGAATGGCAGTTCCAAATCCACTCCTGCCTCTCTAAGCTATGAAATCGTAAAACTGAAAAACACTAGTATATCTGCTCTTGTTATTCCACAAGACTGATACAAGAAATCAAATAATCTACATAAAAATTCCCTGAAAAATATAAAACACAAAACGGACAGAACGTGTTATTAGTAGTAAGCAGATATTATCTCAAGAGGATAAAGTACACTGAAGATGAATTACTGCATTTCTACCCCCTCGCCAAAAAAAAAAAAAAAAAAAAAAAAAAATCTTTTATTCCTATAATGTTTTTTTTTTTTTTTTTTTAAAGATGTGCACTTAAAATTTTTTATTATAAAATAACAAAAAAGATGTGTAAAAAAAACTAGAAGAAAATATACTGGCAGAATTGGAATAATACAGGGAAATTTGTCTACAGTAAGGGGAAAAAGTGTTACTTATAAAAGGCATTATCAGCTCTTTAGGCGGCATGATACCATGCTAGGAAATTAAAATACAATAATATTAGTTCATTCTCAGACTCACCTCTGCCCATTTAAGAATACAGGTCATGCAGAAGACATGATTACAGCTTTCTGGAAAACCAACTTCTTTTTCTAACAGGCAATTAAGACATATCGGACATCTGTCAGCTTCACTGTACAACAGACCAGTGGTGGCAGTATTATCTTTGTTTTCTTCACCTATAAAGTAAAGCAGCCATATACGCTTTCAAGTTTTCCAGACCAAATGACATGTTCAAGGCAGTATCAAGAACTAGATATTCTAAAGGGCCCCCCAAAGACAAAGTAATTAAATCTTACAGTGTAATAAACATCTCCTTGAGCACAATACCCCCAACATTTACTAATTTATATTTTTAATGGGGAAGTAAAAAGAATTTTTTATGAATTTTTAAAATAAGTAATAATCAGATGGTTCGAATATTTTAAAGTTAAAAAAAGGTTATATTGACAAATCTCCCACTCAAATCTACTGCCATCCATCCAGCCCCACCAAATGCAATAAGTAACAACTATTACATTTCTTCTGTGTTCTTCCGAAGATATTTTTTTAATGCAGAAGCAAGCAACTCTTAAAACATATCTTTTTAAAGCTCCTTCTTCACACAAATACTAAAACACTATATACACTAGTCTGCATTTTTTTTTGTTTTAACTTACTGATGGACTACAGGTGTAGTTTGAATAGATAACTATGAAATTTTATCCCTTACGGTTTGTACTAATTTAAATGCCCACCAGCAATATAACCAACATAAAAGAATATGTACTGTTGGCTCAAAAGTAAAAGAAACTTGAAAATTCAACATAAAATGAAACAACAATAAAGAAATTGTCAGCTGAAATGCAAACAATATACACCAAGCAAGTGGAAAAGTGGATATTGTCCTGAGAGCAAATGTTCATATTAGGGTTCACATCTAAAGACTTACAACCAACCCAGGCAGGGGAACTGATCCTAAGAGACTTCCATATCAAGTCAAGACCCCATGCTGAAGTAGAGCATGGGTTTAGAAAAAAGCAAATACAAATCCTCTGAAGGAAAACATCCCTTAGGTAGGCCCTCAGAATTCTACAGATTAAATTTATCAAATATGAGTTCATAATCAAAACATTACCAAACCTACGAAAATAAGTTACTTTGAGTAAGAATCAACAGAAACAATTACTTATATTTTACACATTATACTCACTAATGATCAATTTATTTAGATGTCCACTGGCTTCAAATATCAGAATTTGCAAATAAAACAAAGAATGATTAAACAGTATATTAGACCCAGAAGAAAAGAATATTTGTGAACTGTAAGAGAGATCTGAGAAAACTACCTAGACTGCAACAGACATACAAGGAGATGTAACCTGGGAGAGTGGGAAATGAGGTCAAAACAAAGTCTAAATACTAATTGAAGCCCAGAAGAAGAGAATAAAGAATATCCAACAGTTAAAGCAGTAATGGGTGAGAAATGAGAGAACAAACAAACAAAAAAGATCCAAAAGATAAAGGACATAGAAAGTATAGTAACCAAGAGAAATGAAAACAATCCATGCCAGAAACAATGCAGCAGATCTGTACAACATCAAAGACATCAAAGATAAAAATAAGATCTAAAAAGAAAAATGAAGGAAAAGACAGATCATCTCTAAGGGATTGACAATTAGGCTGAGAAGAGATTTCCTGACAGTAAAAACAAAACCATAAAATGGTTAAATAATGTCCCCAAAGTGCTAAGAGGAAAACAACAACAAAAACTATCAATACAGATGGGGAGCCTGGGTGGCTCAGTGGGTTAAGCCGCTGCCTTCGGCTCAGGTCATGATCTCAGGGTCCTGGGATCGAGCCCCGCATTGGGCTCTCTGCTCAGCGGGGAGCCTGCTTCCTCCTCTCTCTCTACCTGCCTCTCTGCCTGCTTGTGATCTCTCTCTGTCAAATAAATAAATAAAATCTTTAAAAAAAAAAAAAACTATCAATACAGAATTGTAGCTCTTTGAATAGTTCTGAAGAGGTTAAAATAAATACAAAAACTTAAGAATTTACCACTAATAGACTTTCCTTTTTTTTTTTTTTTTAAGATTTTATTTATTTATTTGACAGAGATCACAAGTAGGCAGAGAGGCAGGCAGAGAGAGGAGGGGAAGCAGGCTCCCCACTGAGCAGAGAGCCCAATGAGGGGCTCAATCCCAGGACCCTGGGATCATGACCTGAGCCGAAGGCAGAGGCTTTAACCCACTGAGCCACCCAGGTGCCCCCACTAATAGACTTCCACTAAAAGAATTTAAAGTTTTTTCAGGAAGAAAGAAAGAAATGGAGGATGCCTGGGTGACTCAGTTGGTTAAGTGACTGCCTTCAGCTCAGGTCATGATCCCAGAGTCCCAGGATCCAGTTTGCATCCTAGGCTCCTTGCTCAGCAGGGAGTCTGCTTCTCCCTCTGACCCTCACCTCCATGCTCATTCTCTCTCTCAAATAATAAATAAATAAAATCTTAAAAAAAAAGAAAAAGAAATGGAGAAGAAATCCCCCAAATACTATCCATTTAAAAATATCAATTAATCTGTGGTGTTTAAAAAAAAAAGATGACTATAACCTGTAAGTAAGAGTAGGATGATCAGAGTTAAAGTGTTCTAAGGTTCTTTTACTGTTAACAGTAAATATTAAATTATTAAATTTAGAAGTAGAGGAAAAGATCAATGCCAACTATTTAAAAAACCCAAAGCAGAAGATTATAACAACAAACACAGATTAGTATATTCATAAACCAGTAGGGAAAAAAATTTAAGAAGAAAGAGTTCAAACAAACAAAAAACCTTGATCAATCAAAAATAAGACATGGGAGGAGGGAAAAAAATGTATACACTTCTTATTTAGGAAGCTTATTTCAGAATTTAAGACCAATGAAAATAAATGAAAACAAAAAAACTCTTTGTAAATTTTGAAATGTACACAAATGAACAGTTTAGAAACACTAAGTTTTTTGCTTTCAACACACAAGCTTTATAAAAGATAAAAATTTACCTTCCGTATCTTCATACTCTTGATCGCCCACATTTAGGGTATATATAATTTTCCTCTTCATTTCTCCTTAAAAATGGGCTTCCTATAGGATGAATTATAACAGAGTTTTTATGTTTGCATTCTTCCAGTATCAATGAAAAACAATGAAAAACCCAGAACTGTAAGAAATTATTTTACACACAAAAGAACATAGTACAAGCCAAGCCAGTAAATTTTATGGATAATCCAGTACTCTTTTATACTCCTTGCCATCAAGCAGTCTTACTGAAAGAAAAAAGCCTTCTGTTAGTATTAAGCAACAAAGATTAAATGATAGATTTCGTGGTACAGGCATAAATATAATTAGAGCTTAGGGAAAAGAGATCAATTTGAACTGAGTTTTCACTGAATGTGATAGGTTATATGTGTTGAGCTCACTGCATTTAAGAGGCAACAGTATAAAGTAGTAAAATAGCATTTAACAAGGCCAATCTGACAACAACAAGAAAAGTGTAAGAGAAAGAGAGAAAGGGAGAGAAGAGGGGGAGAGAGACAGAGAGAGAGTCTGTGTGTGTCTGTGTGTACTAAGGAGGGATATATGCTAAGAAATTCATCTGGAAGACTATGGTAATGAGTAAGGAAAGCAATAAGCAAAACAATGCAAATCAAATAGGGACAGATTACAAATAGATCTCTAATGATTGAGAAGTTTAGATCCAATCTTACAGATTCCTCTGAAGACTGAAATGATAAAAATATTATGACTCTTTTAAAAGAATGATCTGCCAGTAAAACACTGAAATGGATTATAGCAGGGAGAGATCAGAAGCAGAGAGATCCACAAAGCTAGGGTAACTGGCTATGAAGTGAATAAAAAAGAAGGAATTAACAAATAAGAATTTCTGAGATATGGTGACTAAATAAATACAAGGAAGGAGTCAAAGATTACTCTGGCCTTGAAGACTAAGAAAATGATTATGAGAGGCAAAATGAGAAATGTGGGAAAGGAAATGAATTTGTTAGTCAAGGAGAATAAGTGTATGAGGTAAAATTATTTTTTAAGTTTACTCTGAATTCTTTCTTGAACTGATGCAAGAAGATACATGATTGTTAATGATCTGTTCAAAAACATTTTGGAATATCTCAGCACAAGAAATCCCCAATTTCATCAATTATAATTCTTCCATATTGATACGAAGTAACTGTTCTATTAGTTTTTTCAATAATTTAAACATACTAGTTTCTACGTTAAAGGTATGTATTGCCCAGGAAAATTCTTTTAGGCTAAATAAGGAGAAATGCAAAGACCCACACTTTGGTTCAAAAAACCAACTGTAAAGCAGAAGATAAGAAACTTAGTAGCACATGGAAAAATGATTTAAAGGTTTTAGTAGATTAAAAAGGCAAAATCAGTAAGAATTAGAGTTACTTTAAAAAGTTAATTTAGGGGCGCCTGGGTGGCTCAGTAGGTTAAGCCTCTGCCTTTGGCTCAAGTCATCATCTCATGGTCCTGGGATTGAGACCCGCATCGGGCTCTTTGCTCAGAGGGAAGACTGCCCCCCCCCTTTCTCTCTGCCTGCTGTTATGCCTACTTGTGTTCTCTCTCTCTCTCCCTCTGTCAAATAAATAAAATTTTAAAAAGTTAATTTAATCAGTCTGTCTTAATAAAAGCAGATTGTCAAAAACAAGAGGAAAACTTCCCCCTCAGCCTATATTTGCAACATCTGTTTTAGTTCTGATGCTATTGTATTTAGGGACAAACAAGAAAATGATTAATGTCCATGGAAGATGACTACTGGTGACAGCCTTGGAAACCATATCACATGCAAAAAGGAAAAGTAGCAAGAATGTTTAGCCTGGAATAACAGAAAGCTTAAGGAGAAGTTTAGCAGTTACTTTCCAATGAAATGGCTTTTCTGAAGGGAGGTAGAGTAACTATCAATGAAGGCATTTAATCAGAGGCCCAGTGACTTCCTCATGGGCTATTTTTTTTTTAATTCAAAGATTTATTGAGTGCCGTAAGTATACTAGTACACAATGATCTAAGTATAGCATTGAACAAGACAGACGAAAATTCCTGACTTTACATTCTAGCAGGGAAGATAAAATAAACACACTAAAATATCTAGTACGTTGAGATGTTGAGAAAAGTAAAATACAATTATAAAATAAACATACAATTATGGAGAAGCTGTTATTTCATACAAGTATTTAGGGAAAGCCTTTCTGATAAAGTGAAATTTGAAACGGCAATCTGAAACAATCAAAGGAGAGAATTATGGATTACCTAAAGGACCTGCATTCTAGGCAGAAAAGAACAGTAAATATAAAGTCCAAAGGCAGTGAAGAGCAGTATGTCCGATATGTCCAAGGAAAAACAAGGAGGCAAGTGTGGTTAGAACAGAATGAAAGACAGGAAAAGCAGTAAGAGGACAGACAGATAGTAAGACCATGCAACATCTTAAGGGCTAAGGTAAACAGATACACTGGCTGCTTTTCTGAGTGACATGTGCCAGTGGAAGATTTTAAGCAGAGGAGGGGGCAAAGGAAAAAGCAAGTCGACTGGTCATCTAGGGAAGAAGATGACAACGGCTTATACAGAGTAGCCGCAGTGGTGATAAGAAGGGATCAAATTCCAGCTATTTTCAAAATACATCCATCAGGATTTGCAAAAAGACTGAATGTGAAGTATGTGTTAAAGAGCAAGACTCTAGGATAATTTCAAGGTATTCTGATTTCAGCAACTACAATAATGGAATTACGGAGACAGAAGATTACTTAAAAATATTCAGACAGTCATAGATTACAGTATCACTTGGGAACTTGTTAAAATGCAGGATACCTCAGGCACCACTCTAGACCTAGAACCTGCATTTTATCAAGATCTGGACATGATTATGTAAAAGCCTGAGAAACACTGCTCTAGGTAACTTCCCAACTTGATTTTGAAGGCATACTGTGCTCCTGGTATGATTGATAATTGACCGTAATCTTTATGTGGGGAAATTCATACCATACCAATTCCCCTGGTATCCTAAGAATAAAAAATATTTGAGAGTTAATTAAATGTGATAAAATGTTAATTTTAAAATTAATACCATATTTTAAAAATCTAGTAAGTTCTCAAAACATGCAATATACTATATCTTTACTTAGCTAAATAATTTATGCCCTTTTGGATAGTCTATGCTGTTTTCACATTTCCTTCCTTAAGAACATTAAGCTTATATTCTTGTATTAACATATAAATTGTAATCTATAATTAACATTTTATAGCAAATACTCCCCTCTCTATTTTAACACATGCAATGAAGTACATAAGCAATAGTTTATCACTGAGAAACCCTCAATCAAGTTACAGACTGCCCTTCCTTGTTAGAAATCTGCTTAAAACACCAAGTGCTCCAAATTCTTAGAAGCTGTGCGATTCTTCTTGAATACGTCATGTAGTAACTGGGGCCGTATCGAACACCAATTATGCTACATTACTAGTTTATTCATTCAAAATGACAGGGTTTTAGCATTTCAGTAGATAAAAGTCACAACTTTTAGTTCAATAGCATATAAAGTTATAACTTATTCATGCTTATTTGTTCTATCTGCCTAGATTCATTTTTTTTAATTATTTATTTATTTGACAGAGAGAGAGAGAGAGATCACAAGGAGGCAGAGAGGCAGGCAGAGAGAGAGGAGGAAGCGGGCTCCCTGCTGAGCAGAGAGCCCGATGTGGGGCTTGATCCCAGGACCCTGGGATCATGACCTGAGCCGAAGGCAGAGACTTTAACCCACTGAGCCACCCAGGGGCCCCTAGATTCATTTTTAATCTAAGGATTCATGGTTTTTAATACCAGTTTTGCTTTAAATTTCCAGTAACAGGAGCACAGGAATACAATACAGACACCATGGTCCTAAGCCAATAATTTGTGGTGAATTAAAAAAACTTAAGAGATAAGCTGTGGGTAGGCAGAACTATCCCTCCTTGTGGTTACCCAAAAAGTTAGATATAACTTGATTTCATGATATTAACTATTAATGACTCTTAATCATATCATATTCTACCTAGACTCCTTAATAGTTCGACCGAGTTCTGTAAATTATCTATTAAATCAAACAGAATTTTCTTTTAAAATTTGGTTAACCACAAATGAATCTCAAAGAATGGTTGTTCATTCTTGATTTTAATTCTGTTTACTTTTCAGATGACTTTAATTTACAAATTTCAATCTTTAATATCTCTTCTCAGGCTCTGCCTTTCCAAGCTAAAGTATCTTTTAAGTCTTTTATTCCTAACATAATGATCTTAAAGCACTTATATCTTACAAGTTGCCCTTTTTATTTCAGTATATATTGCTTCTGTTATGATCCTATTCCAAATATGTTCATAAAATCAGTTTGGGAAGAATGACCTAATTTACAAATTTTATTTATCATAAAAGCATCAACTTTTAGATGTTACATGATTATGTAAATCATTAAATGATTACAAATCAGTTTTCAGAATTCAGAACTCATTTTCCCACACATACCCTGGAATACATGGAAGCAAGAATCCCAGGCCAGCCATTATAGTGCATTCAAGCAACAGTAGTGCAGAAGATAGTTCAGTTCTCTAGAACAGGATAGTTTAGTTCTCTAGAACAAGACTGCCCAACAAGAACTGTTCTATCAAGCACCTGAAATGTGGCTACTACAACCAAGGAATAAAATTTTTCATATTATTTAGGTCTTAATTAATTTAAATTTAAGTAATCCAGTGGGGTACTGGTTACCGTGCTAGACAGCACAGCTCTAGGATATAACTACCATTCTCTATAAAAGGAAATTATTTCAAGTTACACCTAAGACGCTAGCAATGTATTTTTTACTGTAGTTGCTGAAGCACAAGAAGCTTCAAGGAATCAGAGAAGGGACAAGGGGTTCCCGCTAACAGAAACTAAACATTTTAGCCTTGGCCAGCTCCATTTAAAATTTCTATCCTTCCCTTCTCCCCATCCTTTTCTCTTTCAAAGTCTGTTTCCTTCCATCTACATCCAGTTCACTTCAAACCTCCCCCTCCTTGCTTCCTCCTACTGTCCTTCCAGCAAGTCCATGGTATCTAAACACATGAACATCCTAGTTAAGACTTAGACATACATTCAAATCGTAGCTCCACTGCCATGTAGTAAGTGGCTGTTATTATCATTACTATTTTTTTCTAAAGATTTATTTTTAGAGAGAGCTAGTGTCTAAGCATGCATGGGGTGGGCACGGGGTGGGGGAGTGTTGTGCAGCAGGAGAGGGAGAGAGAATCCTCAAGCAGACTCCCTGCTGAGCACAAACCCTGACATGGGGGCTTGATCTGAGAACCCTGAGATCATGACCTGAGCCGAAATTAAGGGCTAGCAGCTCAAACAACTGAGTCAACAAGGTGCCCCTATTTTTATTATTGGTGCTAGTAAGAACAGAAAAATAGGGAAGGGTAATAAAAGTGTTAACTGCCCAATTTCTGTGTTTTCCCTAGACAGAAGTGAAAGACAAAGGCAAACAGAGGACTGAAAAAACACGAATCAACACTTCTGAGTAACAACTAAATTGATAAAGTCTACTAATATTCTGTCAAGAGTAGTCAGATCCATTGGGTACAAAAAAAGAAGACATATGAAAAGCCATGAGAAGTTTAACTCTATTTCCCACCCCACTCTCACACTCAATTCTGCCATTACAGACTCTATCATAAAGGGCACAGATATGATAAATGGGAGCCAAGACTGAATGAAAGGGATTTTGGGAAAAAGTAAGAGCTGTCCCTGTGCTGGGCATACTTATGCCAAGGACAAGCATATTTCATGAAGATGCTAAATAGTATACTGATTCACACGGCTGAGGTCTTCAGAGAATCAGTGACTCCCAGAACTACTCTTAAGATAATCTATTCTTCTTCCTCCTTTATTTCCAATCCCCTATCCAAGATAAACTAGTCCCCAAATTCAATCCCCTGTCCCAAAAATTCAGTTAAAAATGAGGGGGCATTCAATGAGGTACTCTGAGTGGTAAATTTCCATGATTAATGACCTGGGCACTGCTGTCAGGCCAACCTCTGCTTATAACATTGTCTAGCAGTAATAAACACGCAAATGTTACATTACTATTCAGTGCAGGATCTTTCATCTCAATCCCAGCCTTAAATAAAGCCATTAACTGCCTCCCAATGCTATTAAAAATTTGATCCTTCAAGGCTATTTTTTAGAGATGTCCAGGGAGGGATAGTATCCATTATTATAGGCCAACGTTCAAAAAACCAGCCGAGTTTTTCTGTAAATAAAGTTTTGTTGAATAGCCATGCTTATCCCTTTAGATACTGCCTATGACTTTTGCACTACAATGGCAAATATAAATAACTGTGACAGAAACTATACACTCTGCGAAGCCTAAAGTACCTACGACCTGGCCCTTTCCAGAAAAAGTTTACAGATGTGGCTCAGTCTCTCACTGCAGAGGGCTCTTCAAGCTTTCTGAAGTATAGGCATCTCCACATCTATATTCAACCTGTACTCTGGCACAACAGTTACTTATTACACATTTGAGTCAACGGTTCTACAGTGTTGTCCTTGAGTTCCTTTTAAAACACCACTGAAGGCTATGTGATTTTGTTGATTTATCTACATTTATTTTCTCAGTGTGGCTTAAACTATCACAGATATTTGCTCTAGCGCCTTCAATTAATTCACTTCAGAGTAAGGTTAAAGCAATTAACTCCTTCAGCTTAATAATTATTTCCTTTACAGCCTCTCTGCTAATCAACTCAGTCCTGCTCTACAATTTTTGATTTTTAAATCCCTTACAAAATGCTCCCAATTTTTTTCTACCTGTACTGCAATTTCATTTGAGTTTGTAAATAGATTTCTTTGCTTCAAGCGGGCTATTCTAACATGTTTTTGTTTAAAATATTCCTCCCCAGGGGCGCCTGGGTGGCTCAGTGGGTTGAGCCGCTGCTTTCGGCTCGGGTCATGATCTCAGGGTCCTGGGATCGAGTCCAGCATCAGGCTCTCTGCTCAGCAGGGAGCCTGCTTCCCTCTCTCTCTCTCTCTCTCTGCCTGCCTCTCTGTCTACTTGTGATCTCTGTCAAATAAATAAATAAAATCTTTAAAAAAATAAAATAAAATAAAATATTCCTCCCCTACATGTTTGTTGCTGGAGCTTTAATACCAGTATGCTTCTGTATAAAAACAGACTGTCCCTTTAAGCACAGGTTTTAGGAAAAAACTGTCTAGGTTCAAACCACAACTAGTCTGCCACTTACTTAATGTCTTTAAGCCTGTTTCCCCATCTATTAAATGGAGATAAATGTAGTAACCACTTCAGTCATTATGAAGACTAAATTACATAATCAAATAATCCTTTTAAAGTGCTTAGCACCAAGACTAGGACAAAAGAAGTACTCAACAACTAACACACAGGCACAGACACCACCCCACCCCAAAAGGATCTTAGATATATCACAGGACATAAGATAGTTAATCTGTATGACTCCCACTAGGATGAGATTTTCATTATTTTAAAAACAACTGTACTTCAAAGAATATCAACATACAGAAAGAATGTGAGAAGGAAAGAGTTCACAAAATTTAAATCGTCAAATAGCTTTTTGAACAGATCTTATATATGGTAAATATGTTCTTTATTCTATTTATCTAGAAACAAAAATGTCACAGCAAGACAAAATCTAGGACTCAAAAGAAAATAGTCCTAGGATTATTATAACTTCTTATTTCCTACTTTATGTATGTATAGGAGATAAAACACTATGTTTTAACATGGCAACTCCAGCAAAAAAGAAGTCAGACATAGTTAAGTGAAGCTATAACCACAATTCCCAAGGTGGTACCTACGAGTGCCATTTTAAGTTTTTCGTAAGTATGGAAATATTCACAAGCCCTCTTACCTTTAAGATTCTTCAGGTGGAACAGTCACGTAATCAGTTTTCCATCAAATTATTCTGGGGAGGGAATTATGAAAATTAGTCCTATTTTACTTCACTTTCACCCAGCTGTGACCCTATTTATCTCGGGTTCAGAATAAAAGAGAACAATTAAATATAAAGAATGATTTATCCCAGGAGGACTTGAGTAGTGAATACATTTTATTTAGAATGGAAGACATTTTGACACAGTTAAGTATATGCCTTCAAATATGAAGATACTCACAGGTAATGGAGGCAAACAATGGAAACATTTTGTTTAGTGAGAGAAGTACAAGTCACATTTCAGCATATAGGAAAAAAACAGTTGGAAACAAAGTAACGGAGAATTAGAAAAGATCTACCCCAACAAATAGACTGGCCACATCACCTAAAAAGACAATTTAGGAAAAGATATAGAAATTCAACAACTACTAGAATTTAAATTACTTCCTGAACTCCAGACCTTAAGTATGCTTAACCAATAGTCACTTTTCTCTTTTGTTCCCCCTCTCTTTCTTTCAGTTAGGCCCTATACCAGACTCCCCTCCTTGCTGCAGTCTGTATTTATTCATTCAATAAATACTTAGCCAGTGCCCCTATTTTCTAGGTACCATTAGGCCTTAAGCACTGACATACCTAACAAAAACAAAAACGAAAATCAAAAATTACAATACAGTACAGTAAGCAGGTGCTGTAATTGGGGTAAGTGCAAGACATAACAGGAGCACATAATAACCATCAAATCCTTGCAACATATCTACATTTGTAAAAAAGGCTTCCCAATTGAGAGCAAATAGATTAAAAATATATTTTTCTAACCCCCTGACCACTCTGTACCATTGGAGCATTTCCATCTTTAAAGGACTTGGAACTGGAATTGCCAATTTTAAAATGATAGTGAGAATTTTAATTTTTTTTTTAATTCATTTGAGACAGAGAGAGTGAGATAGAGCATAAGGAGAGGGGCAGGAGAGGGAGAAGCAGACCCCCAACTGAGCTGGGAGCTTGATTCCAGGACCCCAACGATCACGACCTGAGCCAAAGACAGACACTTAACCATTTGAGCCACCCAGGTGCCCCAAGAATTTTAATTTTCAAAACAAAGGACACATGTGAATCAGAGCACATAAATAAGCTGATGTGCTTGCTATGTTAGACTTCCTATATGGAAGTGACCATTGGGCAAACATAAAAGATAACACTGTGCCCAACCCCACAGCATAAAGGCTTAACCTCCAAAAAAGGTTTTCAGACAATGGCTGAAAATACACACACACTAGTAAAAGAGAAGGATCTTTTCTCTTTTTTTATAATTTTATAAATTATAAATTTATAATTTATAAATTTACAAATTATAAAATTTTATAAAATAGTACATTTCACACAATTATCTGAGTATATTAATTGTCTAACTGAACAACATACATTTAAAATAATAATCGGGGCAGGGCACCCGGGTGCCTCAGTTGGTTAAGCATGTCTGCCTTCAGCTCAAGTCAATGATCCCAGGGTCCTGGGATTGAGCCCCACATGAGGCTCTCCGCTCAGCAGTGAGCCTGCTTCTCTTCTTCCTTCACCTGACCCTCCGCCTGACCCTCTGTCTGCCACCTTGCCCAACTGTGCTCTATCAAATACATAAATAAAATCTTTTAAAAAAAAGTACAATGAAGAACGAGCAAATTATGATATGTATTTACAAAAACAGCAACAAAATTTTCTTTTCTACCAATAGTTTCCATTTCACCCCACCTTTATAACTACCAAGAATAAAACTGAAATGGATATGAAACCTAAGACTTTCAACCAATTTTAGTTTTAGTGAACTCATTTACATGCTGTTATGGTCTGAATGTTTGCATCCCCCAAAATTCACATGTTAAAATGCTGAATATGTGATGGTGTAAGTGGGGCCTTTGGGAAGTGATTTTTTAAATCATAAAAGTGGAACCCTCATGAATGGGATTAGTACCTTATAAAAGAGGCTACAGAGAGATCCCAAGCCCCTTCTACCACATGAGGATGCAAGGGAAAGTCTGCGACCTGGAAAAGAGCCCTCACCCAACCATTCTGCCACCAGAACTCTGAGAAATAAATTTCACTGCTTATAAGCCACGTGGTTTGTGATGTTTTGTTATAGCAGCCGGAACAGATAAGACACATGCTCTTCTTTCAGTTATTACTGCACAATCAGTCCCTGCAACTACTTTCTAATTTAGTTTTTGATAAGATTTTCAGTGATTTGGTTGCTTGTCAGCAGCTGATCAACAACAGGAATTTCTGGAAATCTTTCATATTCAATTCATTGAATCATGCCCTTCATTCTGAGCCTACACCCAGAAAAAAGCTTGTTTTCCAAGCACCATTCACTGATGACCAAATAATCTTATATCTTGTTGTTTACCAAAGAAACTGAAAATAGAAAAGATGAAGTCATCTACACTTATCAGTCTTATAATAAAATCAGCTTCCCATATCAATCTAGGAAGTGAAGATATGCTTCAGAATGTCTCTAAAATTCCTGTGGAGTGTCTGCAACATCATGTGAGAGCCACGTGTCCACTAATATGAAGCATATCACCTCATACTAAGCTCTACAATGACCAATAACCTAATTATTTAGAAGAAAATTATTTTTTTAATTCCATTTATTTGAGAAAGAGGATGCATGCAAACAGAGGGGGAGGGGAAGAGGAAGAGAGAGAGAAGCAGACTCCCCACTGAGTAGGGAGCCCAACGCAGGGCTCAATCCCAGGACCCTAAGATCATGATTTGAGCCAAAGGCAGACACTTAACTAACTGAGCACCCAGGCACTACTAAGCAAATCATTTTTAAAAGGTTAGAATGACTAAAGAAAAAAATTTCCAAAGTGAAGGGAACTGCAAATCCTTAGGCAGAAAACATAGACTAAACTGGAAATAGGAAAACAGTTTTTTCAAATGTAATATAATTATGGAAGATTAGATTTCATGAAGACTATGCACTAAAAGAGAAATTAATTTTCCTATTTCCTTTTACATTTAATGTAGTATCATCTCCTCAATAGGGCTTGCACTGGGGGCGCCTGGGTGGCTCAGTGGGTTAAAGCCTCTGCCTTCGGCTCGGGTCATGGTCTCAGGGTCCTGGGATCGAGCTCTACATCGGGCTCTCTGCTCAGCAGGGAGCCTGCTTCCCCCCACCTTCTGCCTGCCTCTCTGCCCACTTGTGATCTCTGTCTGTCAAATAAATAAATAAAATCTTTAAGAAAAAAATAGGGCTTGCACTCTTACATGTTAAAAAAATGTTACTGATAAACCATATATAAATGAAATAAGGAGATTCAAAGTTGCCATTGCATTCTGAAAGTGGCAGTAAGTAAACTGGGGAGTTCTGGGTAAAATGGAGTAAGCACATTCCAGCTTGTTAATCTCACTGACTGAAACTATAAAACCCAGACAGAATAAATGGAGCAGCTAATTGAAATTTTAAAGGAAAAAACAGCAGGTGGATTGAGAAAGAGGCCAGAATCTGATATGTTTTCAGGCTGGTAGTGAGCTCATGCCTTTTCCATCTAGTTTTGCCCCCAGCCTGGGCTTAATGCAAAACCCAAAAAGCTGTTCTGAACAGGAGAGAGAGAGAAAGAGCAGCAAAAGAGAAAGCTCTAGGAAAGGCCCTCTGTCTCTGTCCAAAGAGTGGAAAAGGGGTCGCCCAACTGTTTAGAAAGAGTAAGGGAAATCTCTTTTTTTCTGTTTCTCATTCCCCATGACCCAATTCCCAAGCAATCCTGTCGTGACAGCTGCAACAGTGGCAGGCAGTGGGGCCAGCAGAAGACTCTGAGGGAAAAGTACCATCGTCAATGACTGAAGAAACTGGACTAATCTAAATTTTCCTCCTGTCTTCCTGTCACTTGCCTCCAGATGCAATTGTAGAAAGTATATACCACAGTGTAATTAATGAAATGAGACTGGGATTTCCAGCCAGAGGACGGGGTGGGAAGGGGTCAGGGTGTCCAAGGGATCTAGAAAACACCATGAGCATAAAAGATGGGAAAGAGTTTAAGTAACTTATAAGTTGTTTGTGAACTCCTAGCTCACCGCTGAGCTGTTCATCTACAGGTTTAACCTTAAGCAGCATACCATAGACTATGAAGATTAAAACAAAATATAGGATAAACCCCCATGAAAATCACAGATTGGCTACTGGGTAATACACATTATGGGAAAAATCCAAACGTACTACAAAGGTTTTGAAAACAGAACTGAGATTAAAACTACAACCTGGGGACGCCTTGGTGGCTCAGTAGGTTAAGCCTCTGCTTTTGGTTCAGGTTACGATCCCAGGGTCCTGGGATCGAGTCCAGCATCAGGCTCCTTGCTCGGTAGGGAGCCTGCTTCTCTCTCTGCTTCTGCCTGCCACTCTGCCTGCTTGTGAGCTCTCTCTCTGACAAATAAATAAATAAACTCTTTAAAAAAAATAAAAATAGAAAATAAAACTACAACCTGAAGAAAGCTGGTTAGAATTGTGGCCTAAAACCTAACTGAATCAATTGCCTACCCAAACAAAAACATCAAGTCTCTGCAGCATTTAAGCAACACACTAAGATTCATAGCATAATGTTCAAAATCTCCAAAACACAACCCAAAATTACTTGGCAGAGAGAACAAAAAAATCTCAAACTCCTGTGGGAAAAAGAGAACCAACAGAAAACAACACTGAGATAACACAGATCTTAGAGCACTGGGTGAATTATCTGACAAAGACTTTAAAGCAGGTTAAAAAAAATGCTCCACAAGAGCAAATACTCTTGAAACAAATGGAAAACTAGAAAGTCACAGCAAAAACAAACAAAAAACCCACAAAATATAAAGAACCAGCAAATGAAAATTTCAGAACTGAAAAATGCAGTAACAAATAGAAAAATACACAGGACAGACTTAATAGCAGAATGGAAAGCCAGTGAACTTAAAGACAGATCAACAGAAATTACCCAATCTGAGCAACAGAAAAAATATTGAAAAAAATATTAGTGCCTCAGGTACCTGGGACAACACCAAAACCC